GTCTGCCAGCATTCATTTTAGCTGTGCCCTGTGTGTGTAGTCTAATCACTCCCCTGCCACTTGTACCACACTATCACACTTGCTTTCCTTAAACTTGGATAGCTTCTTTCTGATGCATCAAAATACAATCACAAATATTAGTACAATCTTATGCCATCTAAATATGCACTTGCAATATTTTAATAAAACTTAATGTTACCTGTAACACCCAACAAGACTGAAATCACACATAAACAGTTAATTTTCACATAACCATCGAAATAACACAATCTTTCACTTCCATAGCACATGCCTCGAACCAGCAAACCAAAACATGCTTCTCTTGACGACTTCGGGTGAGACGAATTTGTATGAAGATTAACAAAAGGAAACTTGGTCCAACCCACTAAGCAGGGAAAGGGAGGAAGAGTAGGCATGTGGCCTTGAACAGGAACACATGCTAAAATGTTAAGATGACAATATTCACATCCTTATTATTCAAATTGAATTATTTATATACAACTTCTTTTCTTTTTGTTTCTTAATTACGGAAGCAATGCTTCCCTTGCTTCCATGCACAGCATGCCACTGGCTCAGCTCCATGAGTGAGTGATATGTAAGGCAATACTTAAGCCATGAGGTTTTTTTATATATATAAATCAACAATGATAATGTTGACACATCTGTAAGACAAAGAATCTATGCAGTGAGGAAGAAGTCTTTATGAATTACATACCCATAATTCTTTATTTAAGGTTATATTTCATACCTGTTATATTCCCCTTCAACATTTCTCTTGGAAAGCTACAGTTAATCTTTAATACAAGGAAACATCACTTACTTACATAAGTTCATGTAATATTCAATAGCACACCATACTTAGAAAGCACAACAATTACTTCAGAGCTTGTACAGAAATGTGTATGTTGGGGCCGTGTGCTGAAGCATAGTGAAAACGAAACACAAAATTTGTAACAATGACAAAGAAAACTGCTGGAGCAGACAATTTAGAACAGATAGAGGACTCTTCTTGGGCTCAAAATTTGATGCATCAGCAATTTAAGGTGCTTTGCGCTGCTGGACTCTTGCCTTATGAAGAAATTTGCAATACACCAAGGATGGTAAAACTGTATCGGGTTTACCAGGTCGGCATATACGTACTCTACACTCCACTGCTATTCTCACAAATCCTTACATTGTATCACAAGTCAGGAAACTTATTCATTGCCATAGAATCTGTGACTCACATGGTCATGGGGGCTGCTGCTTATTTGAGTCCTTTGCTTGTGAACTGGAATGAAGCATATGTTCTCATGCGTAAGTTCCAGATGACCATCGTGTCGAAGCCCACAACCCGACACAACAGTAAGAAGATGAAAGTTCTGAAAGAAACAAAGCACAAATCTGAATTTTTGCAATTAGCTGCCTTCATTCTTGGACAAGTGACTGTAATTTGTGATTTATGTGAGGTATTCATTTTGTATCTTGTAGAATACTTGGTAGGTATTGAACATCAGTACAAGAGGATTCCAAATATATCCACCATTCATGTAACATTGTTATTACAAAAATATCCTTTTAGTTCGTGGGTGCCATTTGGTGAAACATCCATCACAGCACACATAATGACGTATTTATATGCAATATTTCCTGTATTAGAACTGGCATTTAGAGTAGGAGTCATAACTTCAGTATTAATGAGCATTTGTATGTACTCAGCTCTCCAATTTCAATTTGTGAGCATGTCACTGGATGGCCTAAATAATGTGGACGAATCTGCTTGTGAAATTCAGAACAAAGCATTCGACAGTCAACAGGAACAAGGTACAGCTCAGGATTTGAATTACAGGATCTCACAAGTAAATACTAAATTTGATGAATCGGGTCAGATAACAGAGAAAGAACATGCTTCTCAACTTCATGACAATAAAAAGCACAGCAAGAGAATTACCGATCCTGTCAATTTTGCAAAGGACAAAGAAAATTTCAGACCTGACAACAAATTAAGTCCAGAGGACTGTCTTGTAGACATTATTCGTGATCATCAAGAAGCAATTTTGTAAGTATTTCTTTTACTGGCCTTTATGTCTACACGTTTCTCACTGTAATTTCTATTGCAAAATCTAATTTTATTACGTTGAAAGTGATCTCTTCAAGGCCTATTTATAATTTACATGCAATTTATTAATTGATATTTATTTGTTTCTTTATCTTGTCTTGTCACTGAAGATGCCGTTCGGATTGTTAACTGGTTTATTCAACAACCTACAAGTAACGGCTACAATTAATTATCACACAGTTGCGGGGTTTCACACTTTATAACCCTAATCGCAATAATCTGTTTACACTGTTGCGGGGTTTCACGAATTATAACCCTATTCACAAATCAATTCACTCTGTCTTCCATAGTCTACACGTTTACAGTAGGGGAGCTATGTATCGCTGTATCACACACTCCCAATTACACAATTACACACACGTCCGGTTCTTATTTCCGCGACGGCTGCTATACTCCAACTCGGATGACT